AATCCCTCCTTCCATTTTTCTTCCCTTCCTTTCCCTCTATTTCCTTCAATTCAAACACACTCGTAAGCTAACTTAAGGTCATGTTTTTTTCACCTTATTCAAAGTTTTAACCAGCAAAATTAGTAACTTTAATGAGAAAACATAATTAAGGATAAAGAAAATAAATTTTAATTTGTAAAATAATTTAATTATAGTAAAAATAAGTCCCAATACTCTTAAAAACAATTTCAGATCAATAAAAATAAGGTGAAATTAAATGAATAGGGCTTAAACCCTGAGCATATTGTATAAGAGTAAAACTTTGGTCATTCTCTTCACCTTATTTTACTGAATTGAAGTTATTTTACTGAATTGAAGTTATTTTACTAAATTATAAATTATTTTTGCCGAAATTAATTCTTTATACTAAATTGAAAATAGTTTAACGTTTAATACGTTTTTTTACTTATTATTTATTATCTTTGTTCAATAAAGTTTATGACTTTTACTAATTAAAATCATATTTTATTGAAATGAAACTACTTTTGCTAAACTAATTTTTTTAATGAAATGAAATTATTTTTAATGAAATGAAATTATTTTTAATGAAATAAAATTATTTTACTGATTTGAAATTATATTCACTGAATACTACTCAGCTCCCTTCGTCCCATATTACATGACACTTTGGACTTTTTTTCACTATTCATGCATTAGGTTTGACCGTAATTTTTTTATTAACATAATAAAAATATATTGTTAGATAGGTTTTAATATAAAGTTTTATAATATAATTTTTAAAATAATTTTCATTAATATTTAATTATATAAAAATAAAGTCAAACTAGTTCATTAGCATGTATGCAATATTTGACAATGTCATGTATTATGGGATAGAAAGGGTATTATTTAGTTAAAGAGGAATAATCATTAGAAAAAAAAAAAAGTAAGCATGGGGACCATGTGAGAGGAGAAAGTTTTTTAAAAAAGGTGTGAGGAGTGAGATATAACAATATTACTCCCGCGTCCCTTTATTTTGCCCCATTGTTATTTTTGGGTCAAACTTTATAAATTTTGATTGTAAATTACTGTTAATCAATAAGAGATTATATAGTCATGAATTATCTTGTTAGATTTAGCTCATTGCATATTTTATAATTATCATTTATGTTTTAATAAATTTAACATGTATGAAAATGAAGATATGTGTTTTGTATGACGTGTCTTGGAGATCGTGAAAAATCAAATGGGCAAAAAAAAAAAATAGGGACAGAGGGGGTAATTTAAAGTAAGAAAGAAAAACCTGAACGAAGGAAGTAGTAATGTAGTATATTAAAGGATGGGTTTTGGGGGCGGGAGGGTTTTTCTAGGGGGTTTGATGGGGGGAGGGGAAGAGGAGTTTCGAGGAAGTTAAAGAGGATGGTGGTTTGGGGGGGGGGGGAGGGGATAGCGACGACAAGGGTGGAGGGGTATGTAGGCCAGAAAAGGAGAGGGTTGGCCTGGGCGTCGATGAGGGCTTGGGATCGGGGTGAGGCCGGTTGATAGGCGTGTCACGTACCTAACAAAAATAAACCTAACTAGACCACTACTAATTATGTAGTAGGGTAAGTTAGGGTCGATCCCATAGTGAAGGTAGTATCAATAATATTGGACTACTATGAATTAAAACTAGTCGAGTCAATTAAAAAATAGGGTTGAAAATATTATACTACTAAAGCAAGAAAATCAAATAATAAAAACATCTAGAATTAAGTATCACCACTAGCATAATCAATAGAAGACAAATTCTTACCCCAATCAATTAATTATACGTTCACAAGGAAAGGTACGCCCTATAAAATACCAAAGATCTCTCCCGAGTTGTCAATGGCTTCCCTAATTAACAATCAAACCTACTTCCGTGGAATCATGTAAATTAAAGACATTAAGTTCGGTACCCTAACTTCCTAATAATCCGTTCTACCTACTTCCGTGGAGAATTTCATACCCTTAATTGATCTATTCAAATCCGTCAAAACCCAACTCCCGTTGCGATCTAGACTATGGAATAATAACAATACCAATTATCCCTAATCTAGTATTGGCATAAGCACAATCAATTAAGCATGAACTATATAAGAATTAATTGAGAATTTAAAAGAATAAATCAAGTATTAATCATATTAGGGTTCAACTTAAATTTAGAATAAATTCAACTCACAAACAAAAGACAAACGAATCAAGATTGAATGCAAGAATGACATCATTAAAGTAAATAACTAAAGTAATTAAAAAATAATGAAGAACAAAAGAAAAGGAAATAACTACTAAATGTCAACGTTGCTGCTAGAATGCATGACGATCGTACGCCTCCTTCAATACTAAAGTGGCAACCTCCCTTTAATTACCCTAAGTATCAACTATATATAGGCAAAGATATTGGAGGAGTTTAAAAAATAAAAAAAAATAAAAATAAAGATATTGGAGGAGTTAGAATATAATTAGGACTCTAAAAATCTATCCAAAACATTCTCCAATTGCTAATTATTATTTGGCCGCGGGTAGGCTGCGGAGCTCCTTCCTTGGTCGCGGGTAGGCTGCGGAGTAATAAGCTGCCTTTTAGCTCTTTGTATGGAATTCCTTTCACTTTGTCACACAAAATCATCGTCAATTCGTAGCTCAACTCGAACAGCAACTTATTCCTACAAAACACAGAAAAAGAATCGGAGGAGAGCAATATCGAAATATATAATAATATGATGCTCAAATAAGCAATTGTAGGAAGAAAGCACGACACATATCATATAAATATGGCATATAAAACGTGTATTTTATTGTGTTATCACCGGTGACTTTTTTTTTTAAAAAAAAAAATCTAAAATAATTTTAACATTGGGAAAAAAACTAATAATAGTTTAAAAAATGATTAAAACCTAATATCACATCACTAATAAATAAAGTCGGTCTTGCAAGTCAAGTGTCGTTGTGCCACGTAGGAGGTAAATAGGTATTATTGTGATACATATAATGCTAAGTAAGCGTTTTTTGGATAGTTTTTTTAAGATAAAATCATTGTACAGAGTTTTATTATCGATAAAATTCAAAGATATCACATATACAAAATTAATCATAATTTTTAATAAATATCCTATAACTCAATACTAAATCCATCATCAAATTCGTTTTAAAAAGTTCTTTAAAATAAGATCTATTTATAATATATATTTAATCACAAACTTTTATACGTAGTTGGCCAAATCGTCTCACCAATTATTACAATAGTTACTTCGTTAGTGCTATAGGGGTTACATAGCTTGGTCAGTGTTATAATGATTACTCTATCGATCAGTGTTATAGATAAGGGATGTTTAGTCAGTGTTAGAGGTTACTCATCATCATTTAGTATTACAGGGGTTACTCAATCAATTTTATAGGGGTTACTTTGGTGTGGTTAGCTGCATACAAAATGCATTGTTATTTAATTTATTTTAAAAAAACAATTAGAGAATCAGTAAAACAAAGTTTTAATCAGTAAAAACAATTTTATTTTGGTAAAAATACTTTCAGTTCGGTGAAAATAATTTAAGTTTAATAAAATAATTTCAAGTCAATAATAAGTAACATAGATATCTATTTACAAACAAAATTACAAAAAGTGCACTCCATATGATACGTATATTTAAATATCCTACATTATCATAACTAATTATTTGACCATATTTAACACTCAAGTAAAATGTTATGATATATTTTATCAACCATTTGGGGATCGCCCGAGCACAAAACTAGTATATCTATAAAGGGGAGTTTTTTCCCAAGATTTTAGAGCTAGAGCCACATATGATTTAATTTTTTTAAAAAATTATTAGAGCGCCCGATAGGATTAGTATTTTAGAGACTTGTAGGATTATGCCACATAAAATTTTTATTTGGAAGCTCCACATGGAATTAATTAGGATTAAAATTAAAATTTTAAATTTATTATAAAAATAAAACATTATCTTTTTAAATTGGAAATTTTATTTAAGAAAAATGAAGAGACAATATATATATATATATGAAAAGTTAAACACTGAAATTTATGTTCAATAGATATTAAAAAAAATTGAATTAGATAAAAAAAAAGTATGAAATATGAGAAGTAATTGTAATAAAAAATTTATTAAAAAAAAGGTGAAATTACGTAAAATAAAAAATATATATATATATATCATTTTGGATTAGGTGCAAAAAAAAAAAAATCTTAAAAACTTAATGTGTTATCCCTTTAAATTCAATATTTTTTTAATCCTATATGTACTCTCTATTGTTCAACACAAATAGACGTAAAATTTTGGAGACAAAGAAGTATATTTAGATATAACAAGTGTTACTTTAACTAGGAAATAATATCTTTCCCTCTAGGTTTTCTCCTTGGGTGGGGATTTTGGTCCCCTCTAGGGTTTCCTCATTGGGAGGATTTTTCTAGCCTCCATTGCTAGATTTTCTCTACGTTTTTTTTTTGAAGGTTTTCATTCAATCTTCTCCTTCTCTCTCTTTCCCTTCCATCTTTTTTCCTCTGGTCTCAATTGTAAATTTTTGTAGGGGCTTCCACTGGTGTTTTTACCGGTGGAAAACCCGAAAAAAAAACTTTATTGCTTTCAATAAAAGATCACATCTTTATGGTGGTGTTTATTCTATAAGGTTTAATATATTTGTTTGTTCGTCTGTCAAAGATTCACTACTAGATACCGCCTAAATAACGACAATTCATCTGTGGTGGTCATAAAAAATTGTCGTAAAATTATAATTTTGCGATTGTTTTATAAGCTGTCGCAAACTACGATAGTTTATATCCCTTTTGCGACAGTTTGTTTGTCGTTGAAATTATATGATTTTATTTTTAATTTTATACAGGTATTAGGACTGTTAAAAACCGTCGTAAAGTTTTTATTTTTTATTTTTTAATATTTCTAAAAGGTTGCGACAGTCATAAACTGTCGCAAAACCGTCGCAGATTATCGTATTTTTTTTTTTTATAAAAAACAAAGAAAACAAATTTAATTAAAATAACTCTACTTCCCTTCTTTCACCTTCACTTCCCTTTAACAGAGCCGCGACGAGAGAGGAGCAAGAGGGAACTCTGCAACACTCCTTCCGTCGATCCGTCGTTGGGAATTTGGTCCTCCACAATCGATTAGTCTGTGATCCCCTTTCAATTCATGTGTATTATATGTAATTATTTTTAATTTTATCATTTTATCACTTAAACCCTAAATTTTCCGTCGCTTCCCTTAAGCTATCGGAGGGCCACCTGAGTGCCGCTTCTTCTGACGCCGGTTTGCCGCTTTCCCTGACTCCGGTGTGCGAGTTCACTAGCGTTGAAGCTTCGACTGCCCTGACGCTGGACTGATTTCACACGTGACGCCTGTTTGAGGTAAAAATCGACCCTTGTTTTTCTTTTCATTTTTTAAAAAAAAAAATTGTTTTTTTTTCGTTAGTAATACTGGAATTTGTGAATGACTCTGAATTTATCATGCCAAATTGATTTGAAGTCCAAATTGATTATGTGAATTGGCAACAAATTGAACATACTAGTCTAGGTATTAGGTAAACATCTTCAATATATCATGAGTTGTGAGAAACCTTGAGAAGGGCAATAAAAACATTGCAGTTTTACTGGTATTTTCCCCACATTCCCAAATGAATTTTCATGTTTTTATTGGGATTTAGCTCAGTTAATACTTTATCAAATGCAAATTTGGATTTTCCCCTTTTCGATTAGTTATGTTTGTGTATTAATCTGGCTAGGGTCTTGCTTAATTGTGATTTCTATGGTTTTCTTTTCAATCATGTAACGTATTATGGATTCGAATGTATGTAGTTATTTGCAATTTCTTTTTCCTTTTTATCTTTAAATTATAAAGAATTGAGGTCAAACAACTTACAAATGAAGGAGAATGTGATAAAATGCAAATAATTTATTGGGAATTAGAGAGAGAATAGGTAGGAATTGAGATAATTTCCATTTACCACCAAGCTATGAATAACTGCATCTTTTTTTTTTTTTTTTTTTTTTTGAAAATGGAAAACTTATTGTCTATTGACTATTGCAATGCTATAAATTGAGGTTTTACCTTAAAAAAACCTTGAATTGTGAGAAACCTTGAGAAGGGCAATAAAAATTTGGAAAAACATCTTCCATATTTTTTTGTAACTTAGTTCTTACTATTTTTATCACAATTATTTATAATAGTTTGTAGTTAATTATTTATTTTTGCTCATTTATGTAGGATATAAGCAAATTGGTTTGCTTTTGCTTGGAGTTGGTTTCTTTCTTAGGTGAGTTGTGCATAAATTTATTTTGTATGCTTCGAATGAAATTTTTTTGTTACATTTTTATTAGTTATAGGAGTTAGTTTATAGTATGAGTATGAGTATGAGTTTGTTTAAAGTGTGTATAAATATGTAAATGTATATACTAAAAGTATGTATGTTGATTTATCAAAGTGTTTGCATTGTTATTGTGGGTACATTTGGTTATTTAGATTAAATTAGTCATCTTTTAACCAAATTGCATATTCTGAGTAGCTCTATCCTCTACATCTTGTGTATATTATGAGTATCTTAAATTAAGTTAAGTGAGGCGTATACTTGTTCTTTTTAATTATGCCATGACTTATTTTAAAGTTTCTCACATGAAATCTTAACAAATTCTTATCAATAATGAAAATCAGCTGCCAATAAGCTCAAATTTTGGTTTACAAAAAGTGTTGCTGTCAAGAAGTCTGGTTTGACCTAGAATATGTTTTGCTGATCATTTTTATCTGTTTTTTTTTTTCTTTTCTTTCTTTTTTTTTGGTGGAGTACAGAATTTTGTTTTGTGGCTCTGTTTCTTTGTTCAGATGTATCCCTTCAAACTTTTGAAGTGCTTCTACTGTTGCTAGTGCCTAGTACATATATGATGATGCTTGCTAGTGTTGCAATGTGCATTTTATGCACTATTGAAGTTGGCGACGCATTAAATGATATTGCTTAAGGCTTTTCTTGTGATATTTAAACGATGCAAAATCATAATTTTTATGCCATTTATGTTGTCAAATTTAAGTGTAAACCTTCTAGTTTAGGCTATTTATGTGATTTATCTTTATGTATTATCTTTATCTTTATGTGATTTATCCTTCTAGTGTATTGCTTTCATGATCGTCTTTGAATTTATTCCATTTATGATATTGAAGTCAAATCACGATTCCTCACAGCATGCATTTTCCAGTATGTTCTTAGGTAGATTTCTGGTGTAGATTTGCCTAGTAAAAATCCCCAGAAACATCCTTTGTGATAAACTAACTATAGTGTCGTAGTACATTTTATATGACCTTATGGCCTGGTGTTCCTTGGTTGCTTTAGATGACAGAATAGGTACTACTCCAATTTGTGCAGTGTTTTGGTTACATTTGTATGAGTTATAGGAGTTAGTTTATAGTATGAGTATGAGTATGAGTATGAGTTTCTTTAAAGTGTGTATAAGTATGTCAATGTTTATACTAAAAGTATGTATGTTGTACTTTCAATTTCAAGTTAAAGTATGTATGCATATTGTTTAAAGTTAGTATGTATGTAATAGTTTAAAATATCTTTCTTAAAATAATTCCATGTTCAAATTTGAAAAAGTATAAATTATATATAAGATACAAGTTTACAATAGTGAATGTCATGATTAAAGCTTAGAATTTGTTTAAGGAATATTAATTAACGTAAAGTATGTTATGATTTGTTCTTCATATTGGAGGTTCTTAATGATAGGTGATTATTACTCTCTTATTATGTAGAAGTATGGTTACATTCACTAGTGGGGTTAGATGTCAAAGGATGGGTAATGTTGGAGTGATATGGATCTTTGGACATCATTTTAAATCTAAGTCCATATCATACATACAGACATTTAAATGAATGCATTATTTTTGTTTATGATTTATACTATGTGATCTATTGATTTTGAATAGTGTTGTAGAATTTGTCACCATGAAAAGGAATGAGCGTTGGTGGATGTACGATAGAAAAGACGGTAGTAACTTAAGGCCCGAGTTCTTGAAAGGGGTTGATGATTTCATTGCTTTTTGCAAAGCAAATCCCGAGAGCCCGGGGTTAGATGAAGTTAGATGCCCTTGTGTGAAATGCAGGATTAAACATTTGTTACCGACTAACACAGTGAAACTTCATTTGTATAAGAAGGGGTTCTTACCTGAATACTTTGATTACCGGCTAACACAGTGAAACTTTAGGCTGCCAATCTCTGAGCAAATAATTTTATAGTTTTATGTTGCATCTTTGCTATTTAGCTCTTGGCAGAACAGATATTGTGCTGTCTTTGTTGGATGCATCATTTCATAGTTCCTTGCATGCATCATGAATAAAACTTCATCAGTTTCTATACAAATAGCATTTAGGCACTCTTAAATCTTAATACTCAAAGCCTTGTAATCACTACTTGATTAAGTTAAACTTTAGTCATTACTGTTGGAACTCTACTGAAGTCTGAAACCTAATGTGAAGTCTCATGCAAGACAGTTACTGCTTTTGTTAAAAAATTCAATTCTGTGAGGAAATACTTATCTAGATCGATTATATCACCTGACAATATGAAGCTTCGGTTGTTGGTACTTGCTTAGGAATAAAAAGTTTCTTGGTGGCCAGGTTTCTAGATTCAGAGGGGTTGCTCCAAGGGGCAATGGAGAATGAAGTGTAAAAGCAGAAAGGAATTTTGCCTAGGAACCTATAGAACCAAAGCCTATGCTGCTATCGCATATGATAGAGCCCCATTAAAGCTTCATTGGCCATCGGAACTCAAACCAGGTTATGTGGTTCGTGGTGAAGGAAGTGGGCAGCAACTTTAGGCTGCCAATCTCCTAGCAACATGAGGTTGCAAGTCTCCAAGTGTTTCCTCAACAATTTTCTGAATGCCCTCCCTCAATACAATCAGACCCCCTTATACTAGAATGTCAAGGACCTTAAGGCACATAGAAACTAGTTTACTTTCTTTCCCTCCCTCAATCTTAATTAGTTTTGTTTTCTTCTTCATTAGAATTATCTTGAGGGAGTGGGTTGTTCCCTGCTGCTCCTCCTTGTCCACGTTGACCTTTCCTTCTTCGTGTATAGACTTTTATAGGTAAGTCCATCACAGCCTTCCCTTTATTTTTCTTGTCTTCCACCTGTGACATATGATACGTGAATTGATAGTCCAAAATAAATTTAGTAAACAAAGAAAATGAACTAATTAAGTTTAAGATAGTTATTCAGTTTCAATAGTTTTTTATTTTTATTTTTTTATTTATTATTATTTTATTTAATAATATACAGAAGCTGCCGATTTATTTCCACATTGAGCTTCTTTGATCATCCCTACTGATGCAAATGCTGCCTTCTGAAACTGAAATGAAGTTTTAAAAAAAATTAAGAAAAATCAGCATTCATGAACTTACCGACCTCATTTCAGGATTTGTATAGACTGATGATTATAAATGAAAATATATCCATCAATAGATTTTCTAAGATTCAATGGTGGACTTTAACCTTGGATTTAAGGAACACGGTGAGAAAACCTATATACACCTAAAAATGTCTCCCCAAAACCAAACCCGATGATGAACAGCCTCTCATCGCCATTATTGGTCGGAATGACTATTTAATCTTTGGAGTGCTTAAATCCATATTTTCATTTCATAAACCAACCCAACTTCTAGCCCATTTCCCCAGACCATAACTTATTTTCCTCTTTTCGTGCCTTTAAACCCAAAATAATTCATTTCGTGTCCTTTAAAATCATTTATTTCGTGTCCTTTTTATAAAAACGTTTAGACCAGTTTATTTTGGTCCATTATCTGGGTTCAATGATTGAATAGTTGGATGGGGATTTAAAAGATCTTTTCAATGATATATTATAAGCTTAAATCCGAGTTATAACGAATAAGTTATGGCCAAAATATTAAGTCGAGCCCAAACTGAACCCTAGCCCACCTTACCTACGACCCAATGATCATGTGAAGGGTTCAAATTATTTAATCTCATTCCTAAACCAATTAGGATTAATTGGAAGCTTCTATAAGTTTCTAAAATATCTTAATTATCCTTTTTGAAAAGATAAGATTAAAGAGTTTGAAATTGAATAAGACTTTTCTTTTTGAAAATCCTATTTCCGAATTGAAAGACGTTCAAAGATAGTCAGATATGATTTTTATGCCTCATGTTTTTATACAAATTTTATATGGTTTGATATCTCTTGAAATTATCTTTCCAATGATATATTATAATATCAATTCCGAGCTATAACGGAAAAGATATGAATAAAATGTCAAACTCTATCCAAAACTGATACCGTCTCACTATTTCAGACATATATTTTATTCTACGAAATATTTTAATCTGATTCTAATTGGGTTATAAAGTAGACTTCAAGATCTTTCCAACGATGTCTTATTTATCTTATTTTGATTTTTGGATCAAAAGATATGATAAAAAAAAAACCGCAAAAACTGCAGTTTATCGAGTTTTATTCCGTTTTATTCGGATCTTATCTTGTTTTTTCGACCCTTCTTTTTTCTCTATAAATAGAAGTTATATCTCCCCTTTTTCAATCATCAACAATCTGGATCACAAAATCATTCTCTCTTTCTCTCTTTTACACCAAAAATCATTATCTTCTCTCTCTCTCATATTCTAATCCTTAAACCTTTATTCCTTCTTTCACTATTCCTTCCTTTAAGCACTCCAATGAGTCCATACAATACCTGAAGTTCTATATTTTAACCAAGGCGTGATAGGTAGAATTAACTGAGGGTTTGGACCAAATCAAATCTACTTTTAATTTAATTTAATTTTCATTTGATTTATATTTTTTTATTGAAGTTACTAACAGTTTATTCATGATGTAGCAATTCAAGGAAACACGGAAAATGAGTAATTAATCACTTAATTACTCTTATTTTTATTCTTATTGCTAGTATCATGATAAAGTTTATTTATATTTGATTTGACTTACACTATTATTGTTAAATTGCTTCCAATATTAATGTGTATTCTTTTATTTTTATGGTCGCTACATTGCATGTTTAAAGAGAATATGTAATTGAAAATTACGCCTAATAATATAATTTGGACAACCGGTTTAGGATCCTTTTTAATCTTGTTATTAATTCAAGTGATCACTAATATTCTAGAATTATGTGTTGCATTAATATTAAACTAATTTAGCCTAATAATAGTTTGGACCAAATTGAATATTTTTGTTTGTATGCCTTTAAGATCGCATGAATCACTTTTCACTATAAGAATCGAGTAGAGGTCAATACAGGCGAATGTGACTCCATGACTCACTTCGTACCATCATCCCCGATCCTCCTTTCGTGGTTCCGAACCATACGGAGTTAGTAATCTCGTGGATTATGAATAGGGTGTAACCTTCACGGGTCAATTGTTGTTGCCTTCGTTGTCCCTTATTCGTGGTTACCTTAAATGACCCGTGAACGGTTTACAAGTTCCTTAAAAACTTGTTGGAGGCTCCCTACTTTCCTTGTCCCTAATTGTATTATGTCAATTCCCATTTCCTATGAGTGTCAAGCATATTCACACATGCTTTAACGTAGGTGCACTTCAAACGACGCCTACAATACCATTAAAAGTTGATGATTGAAGTGAGTGATGAGTCTTGAAACTAAGATTGTTTAGTACTTTCATAATACGAATCAATAAGCATTCCTTCAATGGGCATTTTATTGTGATTAAAACCTCAAGCTCTTCTATACTTACCTCTATGTCAATGTGTAATGGCTGCAGAAATTCTGTTTGAATAGCCTTATTTGAATCTGGGTCAATTTCAATGATCTCAGAAGCCACACTCTTGTTATAATCGTCATATTCCTGTCGAGTTTGCTCTAGCATATCTAAGTCTTTTGATGTTTCTGTTAACTCCAGCCAAGTATTTTGTCGCATCAATTAGAATAAATGCTTTGTCCATCTGAAATATCATCAGTGATAGGATCAATTTGCTGACAAGTAAACATAATTGCAAATTTTTATGCTTTTCCTAAAACTAACTCTCTTCTTTTTTACTCTTTGCATGCATAAAACATATGGTAGAAATATGATCTAAAACTTTCATTTTAAGTGTTAGAAACTTGAATGCATGCATATAAGACCTTAATTAAGGGTTAGTTTGTTCAATTCAGTCCAAATATGAGTTTTAGGAAAGTATGAAAGCATATGACCTTCTTTGTTCAAAAGGTATACGAACAATGTAAGCACCACTGCTCTCTCCCATCTCATCATCATCAAAACCATTGGAATCTATTCGATTCAGTATCTCAGTAGGCTCTCTATAACTCCAATCGATCCACATACCTGCCTAGTTAGCAAATCAACTCGATAAACTCCTGGCATCGAACCAAGAGCCCTTGCAAGCTCAACCAAATATTTCACCTGTAATCCAAAGGCAGAAATATTCATATTTATAAGTCTGTCATAATGAGATAAAGCTATGAATCACACAAACTTGGATTAATGTTACCTGACCGCCAGTATCAGAATCACAACCAAGTTCCATATTTTCACCTCGTATTAAACCATGAAGACTGCATATAATCAAGTGAGGAAAAAAAATCAAGCCACACTATATAGGGGAGGGGAGGAGGGGACTTTGCAAATTTATTATATTGTTAGTACTTTGTTGCAAATTCAAACTAAAATGTAGTAAATGATGAGAAACTTAACTCTCTTTGTATATATGTATGTGTATTTTTGCAGGATGCATATGAGAAGAAGGTGGAAGAATGCACTACTCAGGGTTCATAACCTAACCCCAAGTAGTTGTACTGGGGGAGACAGTTGGTGGTAGGAAGCGGGGTTTGGTTAAGGGACTAGGTTAGAGTGATCGCCTGTTCTACGAACCCCCTCCTGGTCGTGGAGATGGTTCGTTGCAACCATATTGTCCTTCAATTAATTCTCAGGTTGAAGCCCGGGTACAAGAAGAGGTTGCAGCGCGCTTGGAGGACATACATGCTCAATTCGATGTCAGGTTGCAAGAGGCACTCAAAAAAGAAAGGGAGGAGGCACAACAAGCGAACAAGGTTCTCATTACGTAGATGTTGAAGGGTTGGTCTGAGTTTGGCCATGAGTACCTTTCTTCTTACACTCCTACTCGTACTCCACCTCTCCATCCCAAGCGTGAGGATGACTCAGATATGGGAGGTGATGGTGCTGACCAGACTCCAGTGTCTTAGCTCGTAGGTGTTAGTTGTTATTAGCACTAACCTTAAGCATGTTATGTGTAGTACTAACCTTTTGTATTATATTGTTAGTACTAACCTTTTGTATGCTATATGTATAGTACTAACCTTTTAGATGTTATGTTTCTAATTTGGTGAATAACTTTTTTTGCTAAATATTAATAAACTTTAATGTAATTAGTATGAGTTTAATTTATGCATTTATTTATATTAATAGTGCTCTCGATTAATGGATATAGGTTTAGCTTATGGTGAAATAGGTGGCGGAAAAGAAGACAATTTTTATCTCACGTATACTGCGACAGACTAAAGTTGATCGTAAGTAAGAAGTTGGCGACTGATAAACGCTATCGTAGTTTCCAACGGCTTTTAATCGTCGTTCTCAGCGACAGCTTACAACTGTCGTACAGTTTCATATTTGCGACAGTTTGTGGTTGTCGCAGATTACGACAGTTTTTCAAACTGTCGCAATCAGCGACAGCTATAAACTGTCGTAAACTCACATTTTTGCGACATTTTTTGTCTGTCGCAACACAATTACGACGCATTTTTGAATCTGTCGCTGAAATTAAGAGAAACCGTCGTAATTGTGTTTGCGACAATCAAACTGTCGTAAATTTTTTTTTTTGCGACAACTGTGATTGCAAAAAAAAAATTACGACAGTTAGCCGTCGTAACTTGTAAGTGCGACGGTTTATTTCTTATTTACGAAAGAAAAAAGCTGTCGTAAAATGTCTGTTTTCTTGTAGTGATTGAAGATTTAGGGTTTCACAATCTCTAAAAGTATCTAGAAGGCCATATGAGTTTTTTCACCCAAAGAACTATTCATCCGTGGATCTCAAACCAATTTAGTGCTAAATCACAAATTGTATTGCTTCGGATGAAAATTTCTATAAAGGCGATCGTGAATCGAATCTGCGATGTAACTAGTTTTAAGGTGAATTGTATTTGTGTTAGAATTTTAGTTTTCCTCGGAATTGTTTTTGTAAGTGTCGTTTGGCTATCTTTCACTAATGAAATCCTTTTCTTTTTGTCAAACAAAAAGAAAAAAAAAAAGAAGCATATTTAGAATTTGAACACCATGAAATACTTAAATATGATAAACGGTGATCATAATTAAGAAGTAAGTCATAAGTGTTAATTTTGAAAGGAGTAGGTTTAATTATGCAAATTATCAAGCTTATAAGATCTTATTTTCATCGTGTACACAATTTGAAAAAAAGTTGGTTAAACAAAACATATAGCTTTAATTACTACCTCTGTTAATAGTTATGTGCCACTTTGGGGCTTGACACGCGTCGTCAATGCAAAATTTGATAATGGTGATTAATATATTCTAAGGGTATGTAATTAAGGTAGAGAGAGAATATTTGGATAAAAATCAAATACCCACTGCCACCACCAAGACCAGCCAACACCACCCATACCACCTTCATCAACACCACCGCTGCCTTCAACGCTGGCACCACCACCAACAAAACCACCCCCACGAAACCACCACCACTACCACCCCCACGAAACCACTAACACTCCCCACAAAACCCATCCACCACCACTTCCCACGAAACCCACCACCACCACCACTCTCACGAAACCCACCACCACCAACCACGAAACCCACCACCACCCACCCCACGAAACCACCACCACTCCCCACGAAACCCACCTATACAAAACCTACCTCCACGAAAAACAAAACCCACAAAATCATTACCACCAATTCGACAAACCCATCACAAATTAAATTTTTTGAAAGTTGAAGAAAGAGAAAGAAGATCTCAAATCCATGAAACTCACTACAAATTTTTTGAAAGTTGAAGAGAGAGAAAGATGATATAAAAAAGATGTAGAGAGATAATGAGATTGAAAGAGGAGAGTGAAAAATATGGGAGAAGATGATGATAAACCCCCACGAAACCACCGCCATTACCAACCCCACGAAAGCTCCATTCTCACAAACCCCACTACGAAATCCCGATGAAATCAACCGCAAAAGCCCGACGAAATCCTAAACAAAAACCACCCCAAAATCCCAGAAATCCTAAGAAATTATTGAAGTTGAAGAGAGAGAAAGAAGATGTATAAAAAATTCAAAGAGATAATTTGATTGAAAGATGAGAGAGAAAATATGGGGATAGATGATGATGAAGATGAAAATGAAGATGGTTTTGGGTTTCTTGAATTGAAGATGAAGAGTTGATGAATTAGATTGGGTGGGTTGGGATGAAAATAGGGTGAGAATTAGTGACCAATTAAATCTGATTATAGTTAGTAATTGTGTTTTAATTTTTCAAATGAGTGTAAAATTGACATTTGACTAGTTTTTTTTTTTTACTAAAAGAGGAAAGAAATTTTTTTGTTACACATAATGTTTAGCGGACAAAAATAGAAAAAGTTGCACATAATTATTGACGGAAGTAATATATTATTTTCTTACTATTTTTCTTCAATAGTTGGTTTATATTGTTGTTTGAACAAAAGAAATTACAAAATGTATGTTGTTTATTGTGTCAACCTTAATTGTACAAAATTAAAAAAATAAACATTTGTTATTACGATTAAGTATTGAATGTTAAATTTAACTATTAATAAAAACCCGTGCTTAAAGAGTCTATTATTAATATTACCGTTAATTGAGTATCAATAATTTATTACTCAGTATTACCAAAGATAAAAAGTAATTAATGTTATTCACTACAGAGAAATAAAAAATAGAGGGTTAATAAATAGAATTTCCAATTAAAAAATAAAAAAATCCAACAAATAAACATGATATGTATAGAAATATAGAAAATAAAATGTACTCCGTATCTTGTACTCCCTTCGTCCCCAAAAGAACGACCCTTTTGGGTTGATTTCGCGGGTATTATAAAATTAAATAAAAGAAGTAAAAATGTATTGGAAAGATAAATTTATATGTGGTTTACAAAAAAGTAATGAGAGATAGTAATAAAAGTATATGAAAAAACAAAATTTTATATGGGGAAGCTAATTTTGTACAAATATTAAATATTTTGTTGCAAATTGGTGGTATTTTAATGCTAATGGGTCATTCTTTTTTGGACTAAAATTAGACCAAATGGGTCGTTCTTTTGAAACGGGGGAAGTAATTAAATGATCCTGCAAGCTAAGTGGTCGCAAGATATGGAAATTTTTTATTACCGTATCTTTGGATATCAATAATAATGGGAATGCATTCAATGGAAATATGCAATATTATGGGACAAATAATAATGTCACATTTTAATAATGTCACATTTTATATTAATTTAGTTTTGTTCAACTATATAAGCAATGTCATTTGGCTAATAACCCATAATAACCAAAGCAATAATATTAAGATACATTTAATCATTCCAGTAAAATATGGTAGCTAAAGCTCACCATCTTTTTGCTATTTTACTGTTGATCCTTACTTTGAATCAACACACAATCCAGTCAAAACAAAATGCTAGCCCTTTTGGCTTTCTAAAGAGTTTAGAAGGACGTAGGAAGGGCCAAAACGTAGATGGCCTTCCCAAAAGCGAGGTGACTACTACCATGACCATTACAGAAAATGGTGAATCAAATGTCACAAGACTTGTGGATGCTACATTGATGAATCCTCGGTAAGTCATATATACATAATCTAAATTTCCTGTATGCTAAGGTAAATTGTTTTTCGTTCATATAATCCACATAGAGTTGTCAGTTTTTGACCCGAATCATTAAATCCGACTGTTTCAAACTGATCCGAAAATAAACTAAACCACCCGACCCAAATTTTCCAATCCGAAACTAAACTGAACCGATTTTTTGCGAAGCGTTACTAACCCAACCCGTTATCAAGCCAAACCGTTGTTGTCCGAAACTGAAAACAACCCGAACCGATTACATTTGAATCCGATAGTAACATGTTTCATTTTAAACCAAAAACCGTTTAAACCCAACAAAAATCCGATAAACCTAAATCGTTCCAACCCGTAACCCGTTGTGACCGAGCCATTTATAACCCGTAACTCGTTGTGATCGAATTTATAACCAGTAACTCGTTGAGACCAAACCGTTTACTACCCGTAACCAATTGAGACTGAATAGTTTACAACCCGTAACCTGTGAAGACTAAGTTGTATACAGCCCGTTACCCAATATGTGTATGATTTGATCCCATCCAACCCGCTATTCCAAAGACCAACTTATTTATGACTTAACTTGATTATAACATGACCCATTCCTACCCATTATCTGATTAACTCCACTCGATAATGATCCGACTCGATTTTAACCTGATATAATTTGAACTGAAACCTGCTTCAGATTGGGTAAACTCGTTTTCAAACCGACCAAGTTCAATCCATAATGATTATGATATGAGCCGATAATGATCGAACCCGATTTCACCCGAAACCCATTTTCAAACTGACCAAGTTTAACCCAAACTTATCATAACCCGAACCGTTTACAATCTGACCCGATTAGGATCTGAATTGTTTTGAACCGAAACCCACTTTAAACGAACTGGCTAAACCCATTTTAAAACCGACTTAGTGTAACCCAAACTGATTATGACCTGAATCGACTATTACCCCACTCGATTAGGACCCGACTTGAATATATAAAAACCACAATAAAAAACCCAAACCAAATTCACCAGATAATTTTAAAAACTAATCCACTGATCATTTCAACTCGTTATAAACTGACTCGTTATTACCCGAAACTGATCAACCCAACCTAAACCCAAACTGTTTAATTGACACCCCTATATGCACATGTTAATTATATTTTTTTTAATTTATACTCTATTATTCAATCATGCTTTTTTAGTAGACACATTTCGCTTATGTAATGTAGCAATGTTAGTTATATTGACTAATTTTTTGTGGTTTATAGTTTTGGTAAATAATTGTTATGCGATATCAAGTTAGAATCGTTTCATCAATGTATATTTTTATACTATCAATGTTTTATAATTTTTCATTATTTTAAAAACGAATTAAATTATAGAGGAGTCATACAATATTTATTAAAGAAATTAAAAGTAGCAAACACAAGTTAAAACAAATTGGATTATATAATATGGTGTCTTTTAATGTTATTTTTGGTTTGAAATATAATGTTATCAAATTTTAATGTTATTTTTTGGCTCAATTATCATTAAAATACAGACTCAACACATGGCTCAATTATCAAATCCAATTCGATCTGAAATATAGTTCGGTTTTCAACCTCAATCTAATCCAATCCGATTCGAATTATTTCGTATTATTGTTTCCATTCATCCGATCTGTAAGGGTGAAGTCTTATGGAGGTATTGGAGTACTATAACTTTTATCCAATTCCATATACTTGTGCCCAATGCCCCAAAATTTTATTTACTTGGGATTAAGGGAGTATTGAATTAAGATAATATATGAAATATCTTGAAATTCTATCTTTTAAGGGTCTTTTTTTTTTTTTAGACATTGTACATTTTAAGTTAACATTGTACTAAAGCTGATATTATTACACTTCGTACTAATGTACTCCATAATACGGTTATCTCATAAATGTCAGGAATACAACGATTCCTAAGAAAGACGAGAACATCAACAGAAGATCATTGTATAAAGTATTCGGGACGAAATGGCCAACCACACAAACCCAACTAACGTACCAAGTACTGTCAAAAACTCTAGTTCCTGGAGCACAAAACATGAACTCCATAGTCGAAGCTGCATTCAGCAAATGGGCACAGCATTGCCCCTTCACATTTCAACAAATCGTCGAGGGCGACAAATCCGACTTCCGTTTCAGTTTCTTTAAAGGCGATCACGGGGATGGACGCCCCTTCGATGGGCCTGATGGAAAATTGGCTCATTCTTTTCATCCAACTGATGGGAGGTCACATTTCGATGCCGATGAAAATTGGAGTGATGACCCTGGGAAAGATCAGTTTGATCTACCCTCTGTTGTTCTTCATGAAATGGGTCATCTCCTAGGACTCTCTCATAGTGATGATGTAAATGCTGTGATGTATGCGACTATTCGAGTTGGTCAGAGGAAGAGAGAGCTCCAAGACGACGATATTAAAGGAATTCAAGCCATATATAACTCATCAAGTAGCTAAAAGGCAGGGGTGTTGTATTACTAGCTACAATATGAGACCAAGAACTTCTATCTTCTATGTATGCATTGCTTAATTAAAGTCCATTCATCAAAATTTATCTTTGCCTGTATGCCAATTTATAATAAAGTTTTGACTTGCTTTCAAAAAAAAATAATAAAGTTTTGACTTTGCCATAAATCGCGGTTTGGGTTTGGGGTTTATTTTAATTTTTTGGCGCGGTTTGGTTTGAGAAAAACCTGAACCACATGCAATGGTTTGGTTATTATAAGCTTCTTTAACTATCATACAAGTACATTGTATTTTAAGTACAAGCATGTTTCTTTCATTTATCCTTTCATTTATCTACAACTATTGTAAATATCAATTAAAAAAAAAAGTATCAATATCAATATACTCCGTATATATTATTAAAACTCATGACAAGACATGGAATTCTGACATATGTCACTAATTTTGCTCATTCATACAACTCTATAGTTATTTGAAATATGTAACTCGTAAATATGTTGCACTTTTTATACTAATTTTTTTCTCACATATATGTCAATTTTAAATAGTTTCTTATAACAATTTAAGAACAAAATAAACTAATTATATCTAGAATACCCAATATTAGATGATGAATTTTAATGTTCAATTATATTTGAAAAAAAAAATTAATAGTACAAGTAATATTATAAAAATAATTAATCAATTTTTAAAAAATAATATATATTTCTTCAAAAAAAAAATAATAATATATAACTAATCTATGTATCCGGGGCATTGTATGGGTTAAAAATTAACCACTCAAAAATAGTAATTATTACTTTTTAAAAGTTAATATTTGAACTTATACATCTAAATAAATCTAACAATAACTCTCATGCATATAACCAAAGTTTATTTTTTAGTTGAAAATTCCATACATAATAAACAAAAAAGAACGGAGGTAATAAATTCTGTACATAACATTACACTATTATTTGGTTTACCACAAACTACTCACTTATATTAGTTTTTTATACATCTCATCACAAGTTATGACTTACATTGTTTGGCGATGATAGTCACTTTTTCTCCACTTGTGCCCCACTTTTACACTCCCTTAGCACATTAATTAATTTATGCACTAATATTAGTGTTTCTTATGAGTCACAACTCACAACACACCAAACCATCTTTACTTTTGACAACACCAAACCAAAATTGGAAAAAGTTATAAATCATGACACATGATAGAGAATATAGAGAAACGAGTTTCATAAGGAACTTTTTGATATCAAAATAAGATGAAATCTACTTACTACAACCCACAGTTTTCACATTCGCACCAAAAAAAGTAAAATCAAACAATCCACAGTTTTAGTATGATCCCTAAATTTCGTCTTATAATTTACTTCAAAACACATCTTTCACCCAAACTATAATAATAAGTGCACCATTTCTTTGCTTTCATACCAACTTAAAACTTTTCCCTCCAATTCCTGCAAATTCAATGCCTATCCCAAGAATTCAGTTAAGCCACAATGGCGGGAGCATACCCGTTTTGGGGTTTGGCACCGCACCCGACCCACCGGTTGCGGCAGAGATAACCAAAACTGCCGTTCTCACGGCCATTGAGGCCGGTTACCGACATTTTGATACCGCTTGCCTTTACTATACGGAGCAACCTCTAGGAGAGGCCATTGCTCAAGCAATTAAGCAAGGCTTGATCACGTCTCGTGATGATCTCTTTATCACCTCTAAACTCTGGTGTAGTGATGGACACCGCGACCGCGTGGTCCCCGCGTTGCAAGCAACTTTGAGGTACATAGGCTTTATTACAACACATAATATACAACAGTTGCATAAGATATTTTTTGTATTAGCTAGTTAGAAATTTTTATGTTGCTAATAATAGATGTTAGGGTCAATTCGTAATATTATACAAGTATATGTTTAATACTTTACTTGTATCACGTTAACTCTGATAACATGTTATAATGGTAAAACTATGTAACTATCGATATCGATAGTATGTTATACGGAGTATTATTTAGTTTTTTTTGAATAAAAATTGCTTGTGAAGTGTTTGATGAAATGTCTAATTGAAGAGCTAACAATGTACTCTCTTTTATGATTTAGGAAGCTGAATTTGGATTACGTTGATCTGTATCTAATTCACTGGCCGGTGAGCTCGAAACCGGGGGTGTACGAGTACCCAATAAAGAAGGAAGATTTCATGGCAATGGATTACAAATCGGTTTGGGAAGGTATGGAAGAATGCAAGAAACTTGGGCTAGCAAAGTCCATAGGAGTTAGCAATTTTTCGCGCACAAAATTGGCTCAAATACTATCATTTGCTACCATTCCTCCTGCTGTTAATCAAGTAAACTTTCAACCCAATAATTCAAACTTCATATTTAAAGCATACTTTTATGAATTATACTATGCTATGATATTGAAATTTATTTCATAATTTTGGTATGTATAAGGTTGAGGTAAATCCGAGTTGGCAACAAAAGGAGATGATAGAATTCTGCAAGGCTAAAGGCGTTCTTGTAACGGCTTACTCGCCCTTAGGTGCATTTGGGACATTCTATGGCAGCAAGAATGTCATGGAATCGGATGTATTGAAAGAAATAGCCAATCGACGAAATAAATCTGTAGCTCAGGTACTTGAACAACACCTACATTATACTCAACCTGAGTCACGTTTGCACACAAGTTGATTACAAATCAAAAAATTGTCACCTTTTCTAAAATATTAGTGATTTAAAGGGTATATTTGTATAAACATGGCACGCGTATACTTTATAATTAAAGGTTATTGTAATAATAATATGACAGAAAAACCTATTTCGAAATATTTGTTCTTTGTTAATTAAATAACATTTTGAGGTAAGTAAACGATTTGATCATGGATACCAAACTAATTCATGCAGGTATGTTTGAGGTGGGGAGTGGAGCAGGGGATCGCGGTGGTGGTAAAGAGTTTCAACAAGGAAAGAATGAAGCAAAACCTCGACATATTCGATTGGGAATTGAGTGCTGAGGACCTTGAGAAGATCAGAAAAATTCCACAATATAGAGTGTGTAGAGGATTAGATTATACATCTAATTTTGGTCCTTTTGTAACAATTGAGGAACTCTGGGATGGAGAGATCTGATTTGAGTGATGAATGTAATGTGATTGAGACAATCACACAAAGCTCTCTATGAAGAAGCATTACCAAGCTATACTTGATTTAGCTGGTTTTTAATTTTGAAGTTTTGTTTGATTTTTAATCTTGGAAGATTTTATGTGGTTTAACAAAGAGAGAGTAACAAAAGGACATGTGAAATAGACGGAACTTTGCTCGCAACTTCGTACTATTGTACACCAATTGGATACTACCCTTAAGTGTTTAACAAACTAAGGAAGGTGTCATGAACTAAATTTTGGAAGGTTTAATGAGAGAGAGAGAGTAACAAAAGAACATGTGAAATAGACGGAACTTTGTTCGCAGCTTCATACAATTTTACGCCTTGGATATTACCCTTAAGTGCTTAACAAACTAAGGAAGGTGTATGTACTAAATTTTGTGGAAGGTTTATGTGGTTTAATTGAGAGAGTAACAAAGGACATGCGAATTAGATGGAACTGATTGAGAATATTACCCTCTGTGAATATTGTAACCTCTTTAAATAATGATCAATGGAATACTCTCCGATCACGGAGTTTCACAATCTAACCAGAACTTTGATCGCAACTTCATACAATTGTACATCTTGCATATACTACCCTTAAGTGTTTTACAAACTAATAAAAGTGTCATACTATATTTAAAACGTAATTGTGAATGTTTGATAAAGTGCAACAAATCTAAATTATCGTTGTTAAAGTTTTTTAATTACGTGTAGACACTTCTCACAAGCGTAATATAATTAACTAATTACCTTTAAAAAAAAAATCACTTCTCACAAAAGTAATGTAATTTAAATGATAGTAATATTATAACCACCTATATCCCTATATGATTTAAATGAGTATTTGACAGAATATCTTAGTAATGATATAACTTTTTGTTTAGTTTACAAAACTGTCAAAACATATAATTTTTTTTTTACAAAGTATGACTTATATATTATAATTATAGTTTGCTAGTTTCATACTTGACAGATAAGAAAATCCATTCAACGTAACATACACCTTCCCACGTCTAGACAGCTAGAAACAAATAGACAATCCTAACATAACTCTCCTACATTTATCCATCTTCCAAGTTATTTAACAGCTTTTCTTCATCATCAAAAACCTCTCGTAATTCAATTCATTTTCATTTTTGTTGAAGTCCCTTAAAGACAGGAAAAGAAAATATGGCAGGGCATGGTTCATACTCGAACTCGTGGGCGGATCAATGGGATTTCAACAACAATAACGAAGATCAATCTTCTTCTCTTAATAAGAAGGGAAACAGCAACAATGGGAGTAAAACTAAAAGTTTGACGAAGAAATTGTCAAAGAAATTCGGCGAAAGCTTTAACAAGACGAAGGAGGTGTCGGCGAATGGAATGGAGAAGACCAAAGAATCGGTTTCTAAGGGGATGAGGAAGGCAAAGGATTCCACTTCAGGAAGCATTTCTTGGGTTGTTCAGAAATTCCGCAGAAACTCTTACAAATAGTTGTATACATGTACAATCTATTTATTTGTTCTTTTATTGAGTGATTGAATTGATTTCGCATTTCATTGTGTGTTTGTTGACGCGGTATATTTTTGATGTATAGGAAGTTACAAAAGACTAATGTAATCGAGATATGATCTTCAGCATTGGTGCTGTAAAGACATTTCATGTTTGGGTTGTGATTGTAAGATTATTGGATTTCAAATATTTGAGACTTCAACATATATTTTGCATTGATGAATGGATTTTACTTATTGGATGTGTACTTGTGTCTTGTTAAGCTTGAATTTTGATCAAACTTGATTGGGCCGCCCTCAACCTGAAATTATGGCCCAAAAGGTTTAGTCTAGCCCATTGAAGGTTTTTGTTTTTTCTTTTTTCTTTTTAGTCAAAGTCAAACACAATAGAATTAGACGGAGATGAATTGTTGGAGTGCCAACAGAATCAGAACCAATGAACCATGCTACCCAATAACTTCATCCTTTTCGAGTCCCACTCCTTTGTTGGTAGGCGCTTGCATCTGCAATATCGTTCACTCCACGGTTGGTTTGAGTTTGTGTTTTGCACCCAAATTCCAAAACGATAGGCAGATTCCTAAGAGAATCATTCTTGAGGAAATGTCAGACGAGCAAACACAATGCAACCAGTTCCACAATATTTGAGATTCTAGCCACCATCCAGTGGTGATCACACAGAGAAAAGTTTCTGACAAGACACCTAACATGAAACCATCAATTGTTCACTTTTAAAGTGTTGGCAGGAGACACTGCAGGCTTATTGCTGATTCGCCATAAGCCAAACCGTTTGCACACAACTCCTAACTCCTCCCAGATGGCAACAGACATTTGCAACAAAAGATACAGACGGAAAGTCAAAAACATAGAAAGAAAGGCATGTCAGGAGATCTACATAGGATAGTTTCGTATTCAGTACGAGGGGCTTAGTCCGATCAAAATTTCAAATGTGAGATTTATAATCTCAAGTGAGTCCATTCTCAATGCCTGAGGGTTACATCCTCAACAACGTTACAATTGTAGCCGTCAAGTTTAAAGCATTGTCATAGTCAAAGCTCTCCATCCCAGAGCTCTTCAAGTGTCTTAAAAGGCCCTTTCTTTGATAGATAAGGCCAGCCAGTGACCCCTCTACTCTGAGGGATTCCCTGATTTTTTCATGGTCTTCTTCAGTCAATTCCCAGTCAAAAATCTTAAGGTTTTCTTTCATTCTCTCATTATTGAAACTCTTAACAACTATAGTAATTTCCTGCTCATATGCCCATCTCAAGCATACCTGCAATTCCCAAAGATAAAAGTGACACTTTTGAGGGGATAAGGAATGAAGAGAGAGGATGACAGCAGAGATTAGAAGATCTCTGGTATTACAGCGACAATATAGCATTCTGGTTACCCCATTTAAGCCTTTAGGACTGTTTTAATAAATGGTATTGATAATGAGTTTGTGTGCACTTTTATCAAAAACAAAATCTACTCAAATGTCTATGGCAAAGCGATTCCAACCTCCAACTATATGAGCTTCACTTCATAAAATTCCATCACCACTTTATATTTTTTTGAGCTAGTATCAATTATTAAATGGTAATGATGATTGATGAAGGAAATACATAAGACCATTGCATTACAATCAAATTGTCAGTGAAATTTTCTTACATAATGACTCAAATATACTAACATTAGAGCCATTTATCGCTGATTACTAAACAAAACCTAAACATCATTTTCCAATTTCAATCTACTTGAGAATTTCTTATTTCGATTGAAATTCAAAGGACATTACTTCATAATGTTAAAATACTATAGAAGTCATTAAATTAATATCCAGGCAAATAGTTACAGAGAGATTTTGGTATATCCGTGTGACAAGGCAACAATTTACTTTTAGTTATGATAGTAACATACGTATATGCAGACATCACATTACATGCAATGTATAGAATGTGAAGACTTTAAAAATAAAGTGTAAAAGGCAAGTACCTGAGGTATAGACTTTCCTTTAGATTTGGCAATCTCCTGAAGCACTTCAGATTCCAATATCCTGTTGCTGCCGTAGAAGGTTCCTATGGCTCCTAATGGAGAATAAGCTGTTATCAGAATACCATTTTCCTTGCACAAGTCTATCAGCTTCTTCTGTTGCCAAAATGGACTAACCTCCACCTTTAATTTTCAAATCATGAATACCCGAGGTTAGATGATGACCTGACTTTGCACATATCAAAGGAGATAAAGGCAAGCTCTGAACTACATGCTATTAATCACAATACTAACTATGAGTCCACCATAATGGCTTATAGGATTATAGGAACGTACAAAGAATTTGTAGCATAGTAGCATTAGGACCCTGAAGTAAATAGTAATTGCATAGTTGACAAATAAATAGTGTTATTTAGATATGTTGAGATTTCAGGACAGTTATACATGACAAGCGTATTTTATATGCTCAGAGATCCTAGAGAACTAGAGGCGTTTACTATGTTGCAAGCTTTGATGACATTAAAGCAGTAATAAATCTGCCTTCTTCAAGAAAAATTTCAGGTGCACTGTACAGTGCACCAAAGCGTCAAAAGAAAAATAATCATGAAACGTACTTTCAAATCATATTTCTTAATTATACGGAATGAACAGCAGGTTAAGACTGCTGTATAAAGTCCAAGTTAACTAATTCTTACAAAAAAAATTACCGCAGCTTTCAGAGATAAATCATAAGACTCAGGAACACCCCAAAAAAAGAAAAGGTAGCCTCCTGTTCTATCTGTAGCATAAAACACCCAATCCTAGAACCATTTTTAAGAAGTATATCCAAACCCCTTAGAGGTGCACAAAACTATACTGCAGATAAGTTCTCTATACTAAAGATTAATGAAGTCAAGAAATGGACTATTTCCCGTCCCCTAAGGATACATATTATTAATACAACTACTCTGTAGATGAATGTAAGGAAAAAAACAAGTCTTCTTAATTTAATAATGCTCCTTCTACAGATTCTGGCCCTTTTTTTTGGAATAAGTGGAGTTGAGCTGAGCTGAGCATAACATAACTGAATTCAATGGAGTTAAACTGTACTGATAATAGTAATAACATTGAACTAAATGGAGCAAAAGTGAATTAAACTTAGTAGAGCTGAATTGAATTCAACTTAATAGAGTTAAGTCCAAATGGAAAGGAAATTACAGACCTAAAACAGTGATAAATGAAGAGCTACCATTGGGGAGAAAAAAATAATAAAAAACACTTACTTGATTAACAGCAGGTGGGATTTTAGCTATAGCCAGAAGATCATTGAGCTTCTTACAGGAAAAATTGCTAACTCCAATGCATTTAGCAAGGCCAAGCTTTTGGCACTCTTCCATAGCGGCCCAAACACCTTGAAAATCCATGGGAAGAAAATCATCCTCCTTTATTGGAAAATCATTTTTACCAGGTTGACAGCTTAGTGGCCAGTGAATCAAATACAAATCAATCCACTCCATTTTTAAATTCCTACAAAAACACCCCCATAGTAACTAGTTATTCAAAAACTTGAGGGTCGGAGTATGCATATATATTCACTGGGGAAGTCCGGTATCTTGATGTTTGAAACCAAGTGAACATGAGGAAATTCTAATTTTACAATGTTAGATTGTTAACAAGAGAATTGTTGCTAAGATAAACATCCAAATATGAGTAAATCTTTCAAATTTTCTTTGTCTGATTTGTTTTCCATTATAGTCCCTTTCAATCAATCAAAGATCTATGACAAACTAATCATTAAGCAAGTTAAAACCTAAACTCATTCTCTATCATAATGAATTGAGGAGATAACTAGCATAAACGGATTACATTGGCTACTCCATCTACTACAAACAATTACGACAGAATCCTGTCGTGCTTTTATGTGGTAAGACTCTCCTCTAACACAAATTCCAGAGCTTGTGCTTAGCCTATGATAGGATTGTCAAGCTCCTCAGATAGATATACATTGCCATCTATCCAACACTTTATTTTGCTTTAGTTACAACCAATCTACAAAACATTACTTCCTAAGTATATTTTACTATTATTTCCTATTTCATGGATTTCTAATTTCATTAATGAAAAACCAAACAAGTGAATATCAAAATTTTCATAACTTTGCTTTCTACAGATATCCATATTGTACATTGAATTATGGTTTGCTTAACACTTTGTTTGGATAGAAAGAAATGGAAGGAAAAGAAGAGAAGAGAAATGGAGGGGGACAAAATCTCTTGTTTGGGTAAAAGATTGGGGGAAGGAGGGGGAAGGAGAGGGAGAGATCCATTTTCCCTTTCTCTATAATAACCATAATCTCTCCAAAATTGGAGAGATTTGGAGGGAAAATGGAGCTCACCTACCCCTCCCTTTCTTTTCCCTTCCCTTCCTTCATTTTTCCCTCCCCTTCTTTTCCTTCCTTCTTTGCTATCCAAAAAAAGCGTAATACTAAAAGGAAGTTTTTCATAGAACACATCTACAAAGTTACATTTCTACACCCACTCCCAAACACCACCTTCATTAGTTAATCCTTGCAACACCTTACTATTAACATACTCTAGTTTGACTATACACGAAGTAATATTTTTTACACACTAACACTTTGTTTGGATAGAAAGAAATGGAAGGAAAAGAAGAGAATAGAAGGAAAAAGGACAAATTCTCTTGTTTGGGTAAATGATTGATGGAAGGAAGGGGAGGAGAGGGAGGGATCCATTTTCCCTCACTCTTTAATAAGCATAATCCCTCCAAAATTGGGGAGATTTGGAGAGAAAATGGAGGATACCTCCCCCTCCCTTTCTTTTCCCTTTCCTTCCTCTTTTTTCCCTCCCCTTCCATTCCTTCCTTCTTTGCTATCCAAACAAAGCGTAAAAGTAAATAAACTAAGTACATGAAAATATTGTGTAAAATTTGGCCAATTGACCAGATTGGTAAATAAAAAAGACCCTTAGCGACAATTTGGTAAAAAAATTTACTCCGGCGACAAATTGGTAAAAAAAATAACCTTAAGCGACAATTTGGTAAATAAAATAATCTCAGGCGACAATTAACACAAAAAATACAAAAAATTTCGATTAATTACTCGCGAATGCTTAATATATTTCGTTTTTCTTGTTATTTTACCAACCCTTTTTTACGGAAATAACAATTTGAAAAAAAAAAACTGTAAGTATCAATTTTCACTTAAGTTTCATACCCCTTATTAACGAATTTTTTTTAAAAAGGGGTTGGAAATAAGAAGGATGACATGTAAATTCAAAATTTTAAATGGAAAAAATAAATTTAAGAACACAAAACAAATTAAAATAGGATTTTTAAAGAGTTTGTCGGGAAAAAATAGATTTTTTGGTCTAAATGTCGTTGGAGTTTATTATTTTTACCAAATTGTCGCATATTGTTAGCTTTTTTTACCAAACTGTCGTCGGAGTAAGTTTTTTTTACCAAATTGTCACTAGAGGTCTTTTTTATTTACCAATCTGGTCAATTGGCCGTGTAAAATTTCAAAATATCAACTTTGGATACTCCATAACATTAAAAATTCTAAAGTTATAATAGCTTTAGTCATATACTCATATATGACTATAATAAACTCCGTTGCTAATAAATTGTGTTTGAATGGTACATTTTATACCAACAAAGAAATATATTGAAAACAATAAAATAAAATTCTTGTTGGTACACACATTTAAGTATCAGCTGAGACAATTATATTCCGGTCTAATTAAAGCTTACAGATTAAAAATAAATCCCCCTTAACATGTTTTTATCGAGAATTAAAATTGCTAGTAGTTAAAATTGTACTTCAAAAGTATCACTAATGAAGTTTTAAAATATTTGTTCCACTTTTCTTTTCTGAAAGTTTTTAAATATTTGCTCTAGTTATGACAATATTTACTCCCTCCGTGTTTTTTTAAGTGTTACAGTTTGGCCGTCACATAGTTTTAGGCAATTTAATTGATTTAAATAAAATAAGAGAAAAATAAGAGATAAGTGGGGTAGTTGGAGTATTAAATAATTGTAAAAGAAATATAATGGGGTTAATAGTTTATTGAAAAATAATGAATGTATAAGGATAACTATAATAATAAAAAGTAGTAGTGGGTTTGGGTGGGGACCATGAGATGAGAGAGATTATATTTTAATGTTGCTTTTTGTCAAAATAGAAAGTGTAATACTACATCCGTTACATATTATTTGCAATGATTTGACATAAAGTAGAGAGAAAAAATGTTCATTGCAAATAACATGTAACGAAGACAGTACTTATTAAAACACGGCCGAATATGGTAATTGTAACACTTAAAAAAAACACGGAGGGAGTAATTCATTTCTCTCACATAATTGATCAAATATAAATTATATTTTATTAATTTCGTATTTTCTATCCACAATTTTTTTTAATATTATTTTTGCTTTTTACAATTTTTTTATTTTTTTACTTATCACCACGACCTCACTACCTCCATATTTTATTATTTACTCCAATTACTCACAAAACTCCGTGCATGATAAATGGAGCAAAAAAAATTCCGAAAATACAAAATCCTCTGTATTTCATACAAGAACTCGACACTTAATTAACATCAACTTAAACAGATTGACAGACACGGCAGAAATTTCAAATCAATGTGATAAAGACACATAACATTGACATTAAATTTATACCTGAGGGATTTTTGGAGGCCAGGAACAACGAGGTTTGGGTGAGCATCACCACACCAAAGCTTAGAAGTGATAAAGAGTTCATCTCTGGATTGGACCAGGCCCAAACTCAAAGCCTCTTGGACCGCATCACCAACGGGCTGCTCCGATTTATACTTATGGGCCGTGTCGAAGTGTCGATAGCCCACTTCGATGGCCCGCACAACAGCTGACTTCATTTCATCCGCCGATACTGGAGGATCTACGGCAGTGCCTAAGCCGATGACGGGGATGCTTCGTTCTCCGTGACTGAGTTTGATTTGTGGGACTCGGAGTTGACTCGGTGGACTTGTCATATTTGACTCAGTTGTAAGGTGGATTGCTCGTACTCTTAGTGGGTCAACTCGTATCATATGATTTCGGAGATTTTTGTTGTGGGGTACTGGGGATGTTTCTGTGTTCTTTTTTTTGGATATTATTGTTCTAATGAGTTTGACGATGTCACATTTTTTTTTTTTGAAGGGAGTTTGACGATGTCACATTATTTTTAGACAATTGCATTTTCAAACAATTTGGATCTTCTTATGAAATATTTGTGGATATTCATTATCTTCCTTTGTATCATTTCGGAACAATCTAAATCTAGGGTTTATATTCTTATCCATTCAAACCCTAATATATTGTATTTATATATACCCCATTATATGGAATAGAAATACACTGATATATTCTCTATCAATCTCTCTTATATTTCTCTCTATTCTTAGGTTAATGATTAATTCGTTGTATACTGAATGTGCTAAATTATACTCATTATTATCTTGTTGTGTCGCATCTTGGGAAGAAATTAGAAGGACATTAATCTTGATCATGGGTTTTGATCTTTTAATAATGAAATCACACGTTTCAAGAATGTCATATCATTCCCAATCCTCATTAATTAATTTGGGTCTAGTACAAGGAGTCTCATAGTATTAATAATTTGGAATGTTAATGGTAGTGCCGCTTTATTTAATTACAAAGAACTCTCGTATTATTTTTTGGTTGCATTGGTTTGTTTATCTCGACTTATTGCTATACTTTATTTTCTTTTCATTGACGTTTTCATGAGTTACAGGCTAGCAGATGACGTTGACAACATGAATTTGACGATAAGGCTGGTTTTTTATAGTGGGAAAGATTTTGATATCAGGAAAGTTCATTCTCAACTATCTTGTTATTGTTAATTTTAAGCCTTTACATAATATATATTTATATTGTTTCCCAAATTTTCGTATTTTTATTATTCCTAGAGTTCAATGAGCAATTTAGGAATAGTTGGATTTGATGCAGAAAATAACTAATTAGTAGTTTTGTTTTGACTATGAGTTTTGTTTAGTTTGAATCTAAAAGGGTATTTAGAATTATTATTGGTGTTAATTTTATGAACGTATGGTTTTCATGAACTTGTATTACATATATTTGCTAGATTTTGGTATTACTTTTCCTATCCGTAGTAAATGAGTTTGGTTATTTACCCATATAATTTGTTTGTGAAATCCTATGTCTAATGTCTTGAATGTTTGTACGAAGTAAGCCTAAGGCACATGTGAAACTATTTATAATTTATGTATTGAATTATGTTTTTATATTTCAAGTATGATATGAAACATGTGGTTTTCCACTAACGTGAACGTGTTAAATTTTGGTTGCTTATGTGCTTGTTTCTATTTTCTAATTAAGCTTTATCAGGCAATATATTGATATAATTGATCCGACAGTATAGTTGATTCAATCGATTCAGGTATGTTTTTATTAAAGCGTGAAGTAGTAGGTTTTTACCTTCTCATTCAATTATAGTATTATGTACCTACTTGAAGTTAGATTATTGGAATGAATGTAAATTGAATATGATGAGCGGACCTGAAGTTTCTTATATTTATAAAGAGTATTCACACACATAGACTTAAAGTTCCTAGCTTGAACATAAAAGAAATGTGCATGATCTACAAAGCTAAAGCATGTTACTTAGATATCCACTACATACTAACGTGATGCTATAAACACAATGTCATGTTTACTTATGTTTACTTATGTTTCCAAAGATTAATTTTAATTTGGCTAGTATAGTTGAGTGGATTGAATAAGGTATGTTTTGATTAAAGCTCGAACTGATTATGTCATGTCTTATTTTTACCTTCTCTTTCTGAAAAATGTAGATGGATTGGTATATATTCTCGTACATATAGACTTGAAGTTCTTTAATTAATTAAATATATAGCAAAAAGTGTATTATGAGTTCAAGTAATTAAACATGATATTGTGAGAAACTATACATAATCAACGTTTTATTAAGCCCATAAATATAAGAGGTTTTGTTTTTTTTTTTTAAATGAATGTAATTGGGCATGAGGAACATGATAAGTGTTCTATAAGTATAATTTTATATAAGCATGTTTTTGCTAAAAGGAACACTTTACTTGATACATGACATTACCAAAAGAATTTATGGCTTAAAAGTTGCAAGGATTTTAAAGGTTGTTGGATTGATTCATTCCATACCCCCATTTGCAAGGATTAGGGGGAGATTGTATGTAACCCTTGCATATAAATAATAAAATATATTGATGGTCAGTTTGATACATACAATAACTTAAATATCAACGATTTATTTAATAGAAGTGGTCACATGTTCATTAAATATTTTTAAATGATACCATCTTGAAGATGGATATAAATGATTGATCATATACTAATTATAAATGCTCCAATTAAATAATTTTCCAAGAAGGACAATATCGGTTACTAATGAACCTAAAGCACGTCTTAAGCGTTGCAGTCTAATAGAGTTAAAATATAAGAACTTTTGGAAAAGGAATGGAGCATCTATTGACAATGATGACAAATTTGAGGAAATGATAAATCTCATTACATTTTTAGAATAAAATCACTTTTAGTAAGATTCATATGTTCCATGATTATGTAAAAGACTCCAGAAGAGTATGAAATGTCCAACAAGATTAACATGTATCAAGATTATAGTCAAAACTCCACCAGAGTATATATAAGTAATTATTAGACAAAATATTAATTAGTTGATTGTCTTGCCAATTGTATAAAGAAACACATGTTGGTGTTCTAATATCACATCACATTCATGGCCATGCACATAGTAAGTTCAATAAAGTGATCACTAGTGTTGAAAACTGACTAGAGTTCAAATTTAGAGAAGTGATTGGATGTGATAATTAAATTAGGCCATCCGGGTTTAATAATTATTACCCGTAATGGAAACCTGAAGTTTCATTTGATAATGTGCTGACGCTTTCTCAATGTTAAATATATAAAATGAATTGAATGGCAAGACGTAACATTGAGATTGAGTTATATTTGGATTATGAGTTATAATAATTTGTATTGATGAAAATTTCAAGATTTAATATGTTTTGATTTTTTTATATAAAGGAGTAATGGATAATGGCTGACCAGAAGTTCACCAAAATAACTTATATATTATTTTCAACTATCAAGTGATCAGAAGCTCACCAAATACACTATTTAAGTCTTTAAAGATCCAGAAGATCATCACCAACTAGAATTACGAGCAAGTGATTTATACTTGTATAACAATTCTTTTGATTGGGGCTATTATATGTCAGCACATATGAAATAGGAGATTAAAGAAAAACGTACAACTGCACAACATATGTCTCCCCATTGACATTGATCTCTAGAAGAGAAAATATTATTGAAAATTTAATAACAAATACACATGAAATTATAAAGCTAATGAATAAATGATTCTTCATTGAAATTGTTCTCCAGAAGAGATAAATTTTGATTGTGATCCTCCCAATGAAATGAATTTTACTGCAAATTTATATACTAAGTTGGTATAGAATTAGACGCCCCTATAAAAGAGATATTTTACCAACTTAGGGGGAGAAGAAATAGCAAAAGTTGGGAAAATTGAAAAAAATTAAATAAAGAATATTTATGATCCCTATAATGGTAGTTTGAAAAGTTATATATATGCCAACTTTTGTATATATATTATCAAGATATGTTGCACATTTATGATTTGATTTGTATTCAGTTATGACTCATGTTGCATGGCGTTGAAGATACATTTTGGTCATATTAATTATGTGTATACATTGAGATAAAATCATGCCAATTGTACTTGAATCACTACACATGAAGTGTAGGTTGTATATGATCGGTTCCAAAATAAAGATATGTTTAATAGATATGATATTTGACAAGATAGTGCAGTAACACTAATAGTGTAATAGTATATAAATACCATAGTGTATGAAATACCCTAAAAGTGGTATAGATATCTGAATTATTATAATAGATGGCCTGTGATGTAAGAAAAATTATGATGGTACCAATGAGAAATATATTCAGATATCATAGTAAAATAGCATTCGGAATGTAAGTTAAAGGAATTTTATGATACCGGCACATAATGGAACCGATGAATAATATGCATATGCATAATGGAATGGACTAATAAGTAAGGGATCTGAAATATATGTACATTTTGATGTCGACATAATGATAATGATCATAAGTTTATCATGGACCCGAAGTCCAATGAAATATGAATTTTTAAATCCACACTGTATAGTGTCTTGCATCATTTTGAGTCTTATATTCATGTGCATGTGAGTCATAGGTTAATGGTTTATTGCATATGTAGGAAATTAGATGCATTACTCATTGTATAATTTGTTTAATATGTTATCATGTTTTATATATCTCATATTGCATGGATTAATTTCTTACAATGGTTGTGGTGTATGTGAATGTTCATTCAAATAGACATATTTACAACTTTGATGAAAAATTAGAAAGAGATATTTATATTCCAATTAACTTACAATTGTAATGAAATTATTGATGACACCTATTTAATTGCACGTTATGAATCATGTAAGAAGAGTTCCTGAAGAACTTATATACGACGTATTTATATATCTAGCCCTACAAAGTTTATCTCTAGAATAATGCAATTACTATCAAACTCTTGAAAAGTCTATGTAAATACATCAGTGACATCTCAACCTGAAGTTTGAGCATATAAGAGTTAGTGAGATTTACAATTTGTATTCGCAGAAAAATTATCGTGTAGTTAATTACAAAACTTCTAAAGAAACGGGATACTTATGCGTGAGACTATTTTCTTATGGTCCAGAAGAACCATGATCAATGTATATAATTACATATGTTATAATTCATATGATATTGAAGAATGACATTAATAATATCAAGTTTTTTCATCAAATTATTATTAATGAATGTTAAATCAAATAATGATCACCAATATTTATTATTAACGACTTCCAGAAAAAGTCATAACCGCATGAGTTTAACCTTTTTAATAAACTATTAAATAGAGATTTGGAATGGTGATATTAGAGATAAACACATATATGGTGAAATGAAGACACTTCACATGTTCACGTGAAGACATGAAGAATTGAAGATGCAACTTCAGCTTAGGAGAGTCGAAGATCAACAAGTGATATTTTACCAACTTATTAGAAGATATCCAACATATTGGATTCATTTTTGCGACACTAGAAGATCTCAAGTTCTGTATTCATCGGGGGGGGGGGGGGAGAAAATACGCGTTGTACTCTTTTTCCCTTGACCAGGGTTTTGTCCCAAATTGGGTTTTCTGGTAAGGTTTTTAATGAGACAGCATCTCGAGCGTATTACGAAGAATGATGTACTCTTTTTCCTTCACTATGTTTTTATCCCACGGGGTTTTTCGTAGTAAGGTTTTAATGAGGCACAATCTTCGATAATGAACATTCAAGGGGGTGTGTT